GAGAGAGAAGAAAGAGAGAGAGCACGAGAGATGAGAGAGAGAGAGAGAGATCCGAGCGACGAGATTAGAGAGAGAGAGAAGAGAGAGAGAAAGACAGGTAGATAGAACGAGAGAGTGGGGGAGAGAGAAGAGAGTGAAAGAAAGAAATTTAGAAAGAGTTCTCTTCCTTCCCAATTACTCACCCTCGGACATAATTGAACTGATTAATGACATTGAATCTACCGAATTAAACTATAACTGATAGATAACTGGTATTTCGTAACATAGTATATTCGCAGCAGTTTCAAACATAGGGAAGATCTCAGCAGCCTGCGAAATATGTCGGTTTTTTTTTCTCGTTTCACCTCACACTACGAGTAATGGCTGTCCAATCGCTCCATGATTCAGCAGTGGCATCCAAATGATATACTGGGCTGATGATGGCAGACGAAAACATGGAACGACGACATTTACGACACGTTACGCTACTGAGAAAATGAAGCGGAAAATGGGTCGATGTGCACCACGATACATCACGCCGCCTCGGAAATGATGCGTAACATGGAACGATATCCCAATGACACGTAACGCGGCTAGGGAAATGTTACGAGCACAGGGATCAATATTGTCGACGATAGGTTACGGGGGGAGAAAATCGACAAGGAACGGTTTCACACCCACGACACGTTACGTCGCCGAGTTAAATAAGGTGCATGCAGTCATAGCACGGCGTTATGGAAATGAGTCGGGGACATAAAACGCTGCTTACCGGCCCTAATGCATTCGGGGCCGATGTCCGTTGCAGAATGAGTGAAGCAGTTAAAGCTGGTCATGCCGACGACGCCTGTGCGATGGCACACGACTCTTGATTGGAAATGTCAACACGTCATCGTGTTTGATCAGCTAGTGGAAGCACAAGGGACCGGCCGTGTGCACACGCATGCGCTCATGGATATATGTATCACGCTCAGCGAAATATGTTACGTGGCATACGGTGTTACGTGTTATACGGTGTTACGTGTCATACGGCGTTACGTGTCATACGGTGTTACGTGTCAGGTGACGTTATGTGGCATACGGTGTTACGTGCCATACGGTGTTACGTGTCATACGGTGTTATGTGTCTTACGGTGTTACGTGTCATACGATGTTACGTGTCATACGGTGTTACGTGTCACGCGGTGTTACGTGGCATACGGTGTTACGTGGCATACGGTGTTACGTGTCATACGGTGTTACGTGTCATACGGTGTTACGTGTCACGCGGTGTTACGTGGCATACGGTGTTACGTGGAATACGGTGTTACGTGTCATACGGTGTTACGTGTCATACGGTGTTACGTGTCACGCGGCGTTACGTGTCAGATGACGTTATGTGTCAGACGACGGTACGTGTCACATAGTGTGTGAAAACCAGCAATAATTTTTTAAGGATCTTTCCCCCTTTCCCTTTCTCTCTCTCTCTCTCTCTCTCTCTCTCTCTCTCTCTCTCTCTCTCTCTCTCTCTCATACCAAATCTCTCTCACCCCCTCTCTATCTCTCTGATACCTCTCCCCCTCTCTCTCCCCTTCTCTATTTCTTTTTCACACGCCCCTCCCTTACATGCTTGGCGCCTTCGTGACTAGAGTTTAAGACGCTGGTGAGAATGAATGATGGCGCTGTGTAGCAGTACCGTGCGCAGTCACCGATGACTGATGACACCACTGAGCCGTCTTTTCATAATAGATAACTGCATGCATAGCGAGATAGATCCTGTTCTCCTATGGTTAGTTAGATAGATGAAAGACGGACAAACAGACAGAGGGACGGACAGATAGATAGACTCACCGTGAAGCCGATGCCGACGGTGGCGGAGAACGAGCCGGCCGTAAACTTGCCCTGTTCGAACTGCACGAGGAACGACGTCTTTCCAACGCCGCTGTCGCCAACCAGGATCGTCTGCAGAACGAAACGAAGAGAAGCACTGCATGTTAGCTGGCGGAAAGCGTTGTACGGTGATGACGAAAATAATATCGCGAAAGAAATAATTATTATCGAGGCGCCGGTGGCGGTACGGGGTCGTGTGTGTCGGTGTTGTGTCGCTGTGTTATATGCTGCGTCGCGGTGTTGCGCGTTGCGTTGTGTGTAGTGCCGTGTCGTGTGTCGTGTCGTCGCGTCGTGTCGTGTCGTGTCGTGTCGTGTCGTGTCGTGTCGTGTCGTGTCGCGTCGCGTCGTGTCGTGTCGTGCCGTGCCGTGTCGTGCATCGTGTCGTATCCTGTTACGGGTCGCCTCCTTCATAAGGTTTTCATGAATTCAGAACACAAATAACAAAGCAGCTTAAAGCGGTGTTTAGGCACACGCAGTCGCTCTTTATACGACGTTAACCAACTTCAATAATATAACGTTACATGCTTTATTGGGTACGTATATAGAGTAGCAGGCGCAGCGGTAGTGAGGCAGTGTGAGTTAATATTATTGTAGCGTGGATTTTAAACTGGGGAAATTATTCTTTCGCCGGCGTACAGTAGATCAGCTTTGCTTATGAGTTTACGTGTCTTGTGCCAGCCGATCGATGCTCGCGGTTCACTCGTGGTTCTTGTATTAAACCAGCGTTTATATACCAGCGCAGGAAAATAGCAGTAGATATTACCACGCGTCAACTGCAAGAATTTCCGCAGATATCCCGACCCGTCAAGCTCTGGAATGCTAATACACAGTAGCTCCTTATTAGAAACAAAATTAGTCTTACATTAGTCTTACCATTTTCTTATAGACCGTTGACAGAAACGTAGTGAAGTTACGACTTTCTCAGACGTGTTGTATAGAGATCCCAGTATACGAGACAAAGTTAATAGAATACCAATGCTAGGACTGATATAATTCTAACAATAGGCCCCAGTACGCTCTATACGCGTAAGAATGCGCGAATGTATCGTATAGTATCGGGCGCCGTTATTTTCCAGAATTTCATGAGACTCGCATAATCACTCGCACTTTGATGTACCATTGCACAAATCCGATTATTTCACGGTAGCACGGTAGTTCCTAAGCCTCCGCAGCGTTACAAATCCACCAGAATGCGCACGTAGAACTCAAGATGCCATGACGTCTGAAGTAAGCGAGTTTATTCTACGCGGTTAAATACCATTTATCATCCTCTAACACGTTCGCTGTCGCTCGTCTTACCGAATAACCACACACTAGAATAATGTTGACCTTGCAGGAGTAGACGAGGAAAGCTTGCTCTAGACACGTAAATATGAGCTAGAGTGGGCGTACGAGTGGTTGTGGATAGAGAGACTGACATTCAGAGAGACTGATAGAGAGTGACAGTGGGAGGGTAGAATGAAACAGAAATGTGACAGGCATGGGCAGCAGTTGAACGATGAACGTGAGGACGTGTGTATGAAGGAGTGTGAGTGAGAGTAGTTGCTGAGTAGGGAATATGTGGCTGGGCATGCCAGTAAAGTGAGGGAACGGTGGAATGAAAAGAATAGAGAACAGAAGATAATGGAATTTAGTAAGTGGTGGTCGTTAAAACGGATGGCCTCTGTTGGAACTATGATAAATAGCAGCAATGACACGAATACTCTAAAGAACACGCATCCGCTCGGTCCAGCAGCAACGGCAAGCGTAGCCTAATATTACCTTCGGTATACGTCACTGGTACACGTACTATACCTTTAGAATGATTCAGCCTCACACATTGACATCACTATCACATTGCGAATAACTACTAAATAAAGATAACGCTAACTACATTCTCTAACGACAGGATAGTCACAGTTTGTTATCACATCATGTTTACATCCAGACTATATAGAATCGTGCCAGGGAAAAGCATCACATATCGTGCGTAGATTCGTTTGGGGGCATCATTTCTGAATTATTTATGGAACCAATGAAAAATAGACCTATGAATGCGCATGGGGATAGGGGGTGATAAGTATAGAGACATATCTATAGAGTATCTATTTATATCTGCATCTACATCTACGTCTACATACACAGCTATGGCTATAGCACATAAATAAATAAATAAAATTTATTTATTTATTTAATATATATATATATATATATATATACATTAGAAGCAAAAAACACAAGCACCCATAAACATATAGTTGAAGATATATAAATGAAAAAAGAATGAAGGTATAAATTTGTCATATCACAAGTTTTCGAAAACATATTTATCTTCTTCAGGCTTCACAACATCATAATGAAAATACGTAAATGATGATATACATCGGCTTCTGTTCACTTTTGCTCACGTTTGACGTTCCACGTCACGTGAAGCCACGCCACGTCACGCCACGTCACGTCACGTCACGTGAATTCACGTTTGCTTAGCTATCTTAGTTAGCTATCTCGAAATCTTGATTTATGGACTACATGAAATATATGGCACCATATTTTGATTTTAATTATTTGAATGTTATGAATACATTGGTGTCCTTGCGCTTTTTGTGTGTGTTCTCACACACACATATATATATATATATATATATATATATATATAATATATATATTATTATTATTATTATTAATTTATTTATCCATTTATTTATATGTATGTTTGTGCGTGTGTATGCATGCATGCATGCGTGCGTGCGTGCGTGCGTGCGTGCGTGCGCGTGTGTGTGTATCGGAGAGACTCTGTGCACATTACGTGTACGCACGACTGTTTGTAGCGACTGAAGACATGCATGCAGTGCAAAGTTGTCATCACGCAAGCAATTTACGCGCTAGTCCTGCCATTAGTACTTGCTGGCCGCAATTAAATCACGTACAATGTATTGACAGGACACGAGGCGTGTGATATGGTCTCCCACTGTGTGGGGACGAGCATTCATCCCACAACGGCAAGCCGTCGCGCAACCACCATTAAATCCACCATCAATAGATAGATGACACGCCCCGATACAGCTGGCTCGATACAGCAAGCAGCCGCCTGATATATATATATACATATATTATATATATATATATATATACATATATATATATATAGCGTCGGCTTGCAGAATTTATTTGCTTGAATCAAAACAGTTTTCTCCGTTTTTCCGTGGAGAAAATTTGCGATTTATGCTTCACTGATATAATTATTATTGAAAAATTTACCAATCAGTGCATTGTAAATGTTAGCGCACATTACGCGGGGAAATGATGAACAATCCATTTTAGTTTATCATTTGGAGTAAATGCCATTTTGTTAATTTATGGCCGTTCGGACAAGGGCTCGGGTTAGAGCAAATAAAATAAAATAATAAAATAAAATAATGCAATTATCTTGAATTTTAAAGTGGAATTTGCGCCTCACCAGAGACGCCAAGTATTTGAAACCTAATGCTTCATGTATTTAGATTACCTACGTATGTATCCATAAACAATTCTAATTCAAATGGCAACAACAAAATCTAATTATATTACTATATTTCTACAATACCGTTAAACACGCGCGCACTAACTCACACGCGTTCGCACACTCGCTCACATAACAGACGCAGGCACATGCATGCACGCACACACCACCATCCCGTTACTATTGCCACTTCAAGTGCGCGCAAGCAGACAGGCGCGTAGCAGCAGGGTATTGATCAGCCTGCGATTGAAATGAACTTGGTTAAGAGAGAGATCCGGCGGGAGGAATCTCAATATTTATACGGTCTCCGTTTACACTCGGCGCATTGCTATGTAAGGGTCCGCCTAGGCGCGCGGCAGGAGACGCCTGCGGTCACCACCACTGCAGCTGCGACTGTCATCCATGCTGTAATGCGGTGACGGCGGCGATACGGAGGAGAAAACTTCACAACGAACCAACATATTGATTTTAAGCGCGGTTGACATGAGCCTGCCGCCGTGACGCTGATGGAACGACGACCGTGACGCAGAGGGCACGATGACGCAGTGACGTGACCCTGTGTCATCATGACGCTGGGGTAATGACGACGCGGAGGCCGTGACGATAAGACCACGATTCACCATAACGCTGTCGTGACGCTGGTGTAACAATGACGCCGAGGTCGTGACGCTGGGGTAACAATGACCCCGAGGTCGTGACGCTGGGGTAACAATGGCCCGAGGTCGTGACGCTGGGGTAACAATGACCCCGAGATCGTGACGCTGGGGTAACAATGACCCCGAGGTCATGACGCTATTGGTAACAATGACCCCGAGATCGTGACGCTGGGGTAGCAATGACGCCGAGATCGTAACGCGGAGGTAACAATGACCCTGAGGTCATGACGTTGGGGGAAATGATGACGCGTGGAGCAGTAGTGCAGAAAGCGTGACGCACGGTCGTGACGCCGACTTACGAGTGGAAGCCATCATACAGACGCTAAGCAGGGGACATGCCATAGATCCGCCACGTGGATGTCTGACGCTCCAGCGTGAAGTGGATGCGTTTACGCTTCATTATTGTAACATGTCAAGTAATAAACAAACAAAATTGTTGTAAAAGCTTTTACCCAAAGGGCGTTCAGGACGCCATAGCAAGATATGTTCTTGCACTGATCACAAACCGATCATGTGTAAGATCGTCGCGTAAGTTTTTTAGATCGTCGCGTCGCCGCTACGCACTGCGTTACGCAATTTTCTCAGAAAGTTGTCGCTGGCGTTTCTTGCCATATTCTTTCACATCGGATCACTCTTAACATCGGCGAGAAGAAAATAGACACGCACATGGTTGTGTCACGGATACATGGAACGAACGATGTCGCGGATATTACGGTGTATTCCCACAGTTAGGCGTGTGTGAGTTTTCAGTGACGTTGTTTCGGTCTTTACACATTTCAAATTGCGCATTATATAACAAACGAAGGTACTTATTTCAGACCGTGTTTGGGTGTAATCAGCTTGGCTGCAAATATCTTAACACCGCTATTTCAGAGTCAGGGCAGTATAGGCGGTAAAATTTGTTGGCAAGCTATGCGAGTGTAGCGTATATATCCAATACGCTGCCACGACGTTGTGGGGGTCATAGAGGTTACGTAGATGACATCAGGAGTGGATAATAAAGATAAATATAAGAGTGAATAATATTCCACTCCTGATAACATCAGGTGTGAAACCAAGACAAATGTTCATATTTGTTCAGTCCTGTTTTGGCTTTCCCTGGTTGCTCACTTCTTGTATTGATCTTTCTCACTCATGGTAACATTCATAACCTTCCATACGGTTGGCGCCTCGATAGGAATACAGCGTGACGCACGGACACGACGTCAAGGTCATGATACTCTCACGAAGACGTGAATGCAATGGGACGCAGCGACCATGACGTGATCACGATGACGTAGTCGCCATGACGTAAAAGCCAGCAAGTAGTCGCCATGACGCAAAAACCATGACGTAGAGGCGCGACGTTGCGTGGGTACCATGACGCGGAGGCAAGGCGTCAGCATGTGGTTGCAGACTCGTGTACACAACCATGTCTGCCGTGCGCGCACGCACGCACGCACGCTCATATAAATATATGTTCACGCTGAGAGGAGATGCGATGAGCGTTCGCTGTAAGCAATTAAGCGTCGCCTGGCGTGCTGACCCTGTGTGTGTGTGTGTGTGTGTGTGTGTGTGTGTGTGTGTGTGTGTGTGTGTTAGAGAGAGAGAGAGAGAGAAAAA